TTTTGCTGTGAAGTACAGCCAGACTTTTGACCGCTTCGCCTTGGGCATTTTTAATCTGTATCGGTATCCGGTGCCATGATGGCAACGGATACCGGTACCCATCCCTACCAAGAACTTTAATTCATTGATCCAAAGCAGACATAAGATCTCTTCATAAGGCCAATCGGTGTGGTCGATTTATTTTGACATCTTATTGTTACCACAACAGGCACACCGGACGACGACAGAATCACGGCTCTGATCAATGAAAGTCGATTTCCACGGAGCTCTTCGCTGACAGACAGCTTCATCCCTCCTCCTCCTCAGACAGCACCGCCTCCTCCACCCTCTGCATCCTCTACCTCCTCGCTCTTCATACTCGACTCTGGCCCTCCTCCCTCTTTTCTCCCTCCTCCTCCTCCAGCACGAGGAGATGGACTGACCCGCTCTAGTTTCAAGCCAGGGGCAGAGCCAAGGCTTCAGGAGCTTTCAGATTCACCAACGAGGAGCCACACCCACGCCGAGCGGCAGAGGAAAGCAAGGTCCATGATCATCCTGCAGGACACGCCTCCACCACTGCAGCCTGATGCTCACGGTGCCCCTGCTACTCACACACTTCACACCGCCACACACACCGCCACACACACGCTTCACACCGCCACACACACATCTACGCTGTCTCTGCACAGCACTAGCCCCGCCCTTGGCCACTCACCTCTGTCGCGGCGTCGGGGAAGAGCAATAGAAAACCCCTATGCTAATGTGGGACAACAGGCTCCGCCCACCAAACCCCAGAGGAGGAAGTCACCATTACTGAAACAACTTCCTGTTGAAGAGCAGGGTTAGCATTTTTCTGTCTGATGTCTGTGGCATGTTTGTCTCAATCCTAAGTGCATGATTGGATATGTTGTTCAGAGAACCATGACTCGTGTTTGCTTATTTTTTAAATATATTTAAAATAAAATTGGGCTGAGACACCAAAACAAAAGAAAAATAGACTCCTAATATTTACATTTTCCAGGTCTTGGGATCAAAGATCACGATTCATCCAAAGAAGGAGGTGGACCCAGCAGCCCCAGCAGGGCTGAGCTGTACCAGCAGCAGGTTCTTTCAGAGCGCGCTCGAGTTCAGGGTCGCCGGTCGTCTCTCTTCTTGTCAGTGGAGGGAGCGGGGTCAGAAAATCAGGCACCGCCTCTTCTGACGCAGAGCCACTCGATGGATGACCTCGGCGAGCTTCCCCCTCCAGCTCCGGTCCTGTCACCTTCACCGACTCCTCATACCTTCCTCCACCCGCTAACAGGGAAACCTCTAGGTCTGTCTGACAGCACACAGTTAATGAATGTTCTCAATGAGAATCGGGCTGCCACATTTTGTATGAGTTAATAACAATAATCACCTCTGGAAAAGCTAGTTTTATTCAATTCAAGCTTAGAATAGAAAAGAATAGTAGAGCCTGAAGTGCTTGACAGATCAAAAGGGGTATACAGGTAAAACCTTGCAGTACCGGTAAAACAAATAAATAAAAAATAGAGATTCTAAAACTAAGGAGGTATTCCGCAAAACACTAGTGGGGAACAACCTAGGCCAGAAAAAGTGTTAAGGCTGAAGAAGGTATCAGACAAGATCTTAATGTTCTCCACGTAGTAGTAGAACACTTTACAAAATAAAACACAACGCAGTGTTAAGGCTCTCAACAAAACATGAAATGGCCAGACAAAGTAAAGGCATTAAGACTGAGGACAACAGACAGGGCTTTTGTGTACTGTGTATAGTAGAAGGCAACTCAAAAGAAAACCTTGAGTCACTTTACAGAATATAACAGGACCTGGGACAGAGCTAGCGACTTCAGAAAACATAAGATAGAATATTAAGAGATATTGCAAAACAAAACACAACCTGGGTAAGATCCTAGACCTTGACAATATACTGAACCTTGGAATTCAAGTTTTTGTCTGGATGGATTTTTATTCTCACTTGTGTTGTTTGTCTTCAGACCCGTCCTCTCCACTCGCCCTGGCACTTGCTGCAAGAGAACGAGCGCTCACCGCCCGCACACCGAGCCCTGAGCCTCGAACTAAACACGCTTCTGCCTCCACCACACCCATCCCCACCCCGGCTGCCAGTCCTGAGGGCAGACACAAGCGAACGCCCATCACCACCCCACAAAGCAGTCCTGAGCCACGATCCAAGCGCACCACTCCTCAGACAAGCCCTGAGCAGCGGACCAAACGCACCACTCCCCAAACGAGTCCTGAGCTAAGGCATAAACGCATAACCCCACCCCTTTTCCCAGATGGACAAGTTGAGCGCCCAGAAACAGAGGGAGGAGTGACATCACCTGCCGCACCCTCCCCTGAGCGCTGGAGACCCTCCCCTTTGCCACCACTGGCCAATGAGGCTCATTCTCCTCTGATTGATAGACGTAGAAGCCTCACAGTGGGCAGTTCAGAGGAGGAGGGAGGGGCTTACACAGTGACACTCCCACCTGCCTTGTTATCATCCAGCGATGAGGAAACTAGGGAGGAGCTGCGTAGAATTGGTCTGGTGACTCCCCCTCCTGGCTTTACAAGCCCTACTGCTGCTCCTCCCCCATCCTCTCTCACCTTGTTGCCACGACGAGGTGGAGAGGGAGGGGGAGGAGAGAGTGGTCCTGAATCTTTGGGTAGACGAGGAGATGAGGAGGAAGGAGGTGATGAAAGGCTTCATGACAGTTCGTCTTCCCCAAGCTCCCTCCCACCCTCCATCACCCTGGCTTCTCCTCCTGCTCCATCTTCCCCATCTTCCCCACCTGCTACTCACCCATCTCCTTCATCCGCTGCCGTTTCCCCATCAGGGTTAAAGCCTCGCCTTCGTTCACCTATCGGTCGAGGACGTTCTGCACTCCGGGACCCCCTATTAAAGCAGTCGTCGGACAGTGAGCTCCTCCCATCTGCTGCATCATCATCATCCCCCTCCTCCCCACTTTGCTCCTCTCCCACCAGTGGCGGAGGCCGACAGCCACGCTATTTGTTTCAAAGGAGGTCTAAGTTGTGGGGGGGTGGGGATCAAGATCGACGGGGCCTCAGTCCGGAGGAAGGGGGGGGGCGTCCAGCAGCCTTGGGAGGCCAGGGATCCGGCTCAGCTGTGGATCTAACAAGCCGGTCAGCTTCTGCACTAGAGCTAAGCGGCAGAGCAGGGTCTGGACTCGATCTAGCCAATCGGCTACAGCTGCTCAACAAAGATAGCCACTCACTGGGGGAGGAGCCAAGCCCCCTCGATCCAGGTCGAAGGTCACCAGTAGGAGGTGCCAGGTACATCAAATATTGTAAATACTGGTGTGGTGTGCTGTTGATCTGGCAGTCATGCAGTGTGTTTGCTTGAGCAGATGTTTTGTAACAGTCTGTTATTTGTATTGTTCCAGATGTGTGGACAGTGGGGAGAGTAAATCGTAGGTTTTAATCTCTGGTAAACATTTCTTGTTATTACCAAGAGATGGCTTTCATCAGCTAACAGCTGACTAACATGCACCACCTTTGACTAACTACTAAATATCTCAAATTACTCTCCCATCTGTCTTTTGATCTAAAGTAGGGAAATCTTTGATAACCACATCACCTGAAAGGAATAATCTTTTTAGTGCTCAGCAACCATAACAGAGCACAACAGCCCTGTCAAGCCTTGTATTTGTTTATATCTTGAAGTTGTACAGGAAGTTTTTCGGGGGGGAATAGCTTCTGTTATCATTTTCAAATCACAAAAATAGAAGAGGAGCAAGGACTAAACCTAATATACACCAAAACTAAGAGTGGGGCTAGGACAGAGACAGACAGACACTAAGGAGTACTGAACAGTATTTTAATGTACTTTGATCTAAGACAGATTACATACTAAGAAGAAGGAAATAGCCTAGCTTAAGACATAACCCTAAGGTACTTAGCAAAATAAAAAGGACCTAGACCAGAGCCTTGAGGTACTCCACAAAACATGATAGGATGTTGGCCTTTGACAAGGCATCAATTGGACATTTTATCTTACCCTAATCTCTGTGTTTCTTGTGGGTAGCACAAGAAACACAGCCACCTTCATATATTCTGTACAGAAATGTAAACAACCAAACCAAGTTATGTTAAAATGGTTTATCTGTATGATCTGACGGTTTAACTTCCAGTGAAACAATGCTACACATTCATTTTCATGACTGTACAACATGATCAGTATTACCAAAGATATGAAATTGCTTGCCCAGATTTAGCCCCAGTCTTTCAACAGAAAGAAGCCTGAAGTAGTTTTCCAAGGTCCTGCAGAACTAAAGGTTCTTAGCTAGACAGTCAAAATGCAGGGTGTTCTCTTCAACAACTGTTTCAAAATTTGAAAAGAATAATGTACAATTTATCTGCCACAACTTTCACATAAGATTACAATACTTGACAGGAAGCTGTAACTAATGATTATAAGGCTTAACAAAGGATCATTTACACTGTGTTTAACTCATAACTAAACATTCTATTTGCTGTGTTGCAGGTTGTTCTCCAGTCTCGGTGAACTTCACACCATCTCCCAGAGAGGATATGGCGCCTCCTATACAGTCCGACCTGGAAGTCGCTACCCTGTCACTCGCCGGAGCCCTTCTCCTTCTCCCTCGCCCTCTGATAGGTCAGTGGGACTCCCCTCTACTACCGCCCCCTGCTCTGAAAGGCCAGATCTGAGCTCAGGTCGCGGTCTAACCATCCTAAAGTCCTCCAGTCTCAGCCTCCCCTCAGAACCAAAGGAGGTTCGGTTTGTGATGCGAAGCGCCAGTGCACGAACCAGATCCCGTTCCCCTTCCCCTTCACCCCATGCCTCGCCCTGCCCCTCCCCGGTCCTCAGCGGGCCCTTGTTGTCCCTACGACCATGGAGGCAGCGGCCCCTCAACTTGTGGAATAAATACGATGTGGGTGACTGGCTGGAGAGCGTGGGTCTGGCCGAACACCGCCAGCGCTTCCAGGACCATGAGATTGAAGGCTCCCATCTCCCTGCCCTCACCAAAGAGGACTACGTGGAGCTGGGAGTCACCAGGCTGGGACACCGGATCAACATTGAGAGGGCACTCCGACAGCTGCTGGATGGTTCCACTTGACCCCTCACCTCTGACCACTCACCTCTTAGATATCCTAAACTGTAACCTCAGACCCCCTGACCTCTGGTCAGACAGTAGGCCATCTCTTTGAATTGAATAATCTTAGCAGTGACTGAATATTTAGACCTTAGACCAGAAGTTTTCTGGTTTATCAGCTCTTTGATCAGCAACATAAGGACTGGTAGCAGCTGCAGACCTCTGATGTTTCGTTTGCCTGTTAATGTCTGCATGCCCCAACCAAACTCCCAACCAAACCAAACACTTCACACTGAGTTATGACTGACTTATGGTTGTGTAGATTCATTTTAAACAAAATTAACATGAAATTAAATGTGCATGGCATGATTTTAATAATCTTGAACATTCTGTTAACTCAATGTTCTTGATTATACCAAAAGTTTTAAGCCAAATGAACTATAGGCTAATATTTTAAATGAGAAATTGAATCCTTTTTTATTTATGTACAGTGATGAATGATTAAGAGATGAATTAACAATCTGACACCAACAAAGGTGGTCATGAGGAAAATCATGAGGTTCAACTGCAGGAATTCATTTGGGGCTGAAAATAAGTCCATGCTTGCCAGAATATTAAAGATCAGAGAATTATTTTTTTCAAATACGCCACCTCAGTATTAGTCCAAAACAGTTTGTTTTTTTTAGTCGCAAAAATCCCCAACAAAAAACACTAAAACATTTAACATTCCCAGACATGGACACTCAGTCATTTAACTGGGAATTATAAAATGTCAGAAGACACTAATGGAAAATATCGATGACAGACATGTGCAGACATGTGAAAACTGGTCGCTGAACTATTGAAACAACCAAATGAACTGTCTAAATCTTGTCAGCTGGACTCACTCGGTTTTACACTGTGACAGATTTGTCAGTGTTCTCTGATAGCATGTTTGCTAGTCTTTCCAATTGCTGGGATAACATTACCTATAAAAGCAGAATCTTCTCCAGCATACAATTTCACTACAAGCCACTAAATTTTACTATACTTAGAATTAAAATGTACCAGTAAGTCCCACAATGTGAACAAACTGGGAACAAAATCCATCAAAGTTTCCCTGACCGTGATGTAACTTATGAAACAGCTGCTTCTGTACAGCCAGGATTTAAAAATGAAAAATAACAGTCAGTGCATCTGAGAAAGGCAGAACAATGAAAGGAACTGAAAAATCTTATCCACACGACTCTGCTCTTAAGCTACGAGAGATTTGAGTGGCCATTATTTTTTTTAAATCCAAAGGTAACTACTCAGTAACTGTTAATAAAGTTTATGGTGTATTACGATTCTTGAAGACTATAAGCTGCAGCTTAAATTCAAACAGTTGCTTGTTGTTACAGTTTTTGACAGTAAACACTTACACATCTGGAAACATCAGCTATGAAAGCATTACCTGAATTCTGGTCTGGACCATTACAAACAGCTCTGCTGCCAGCCTCTAATGGTGATCAAAGAGCTGATGTGACAATCCGACTACAAACACACTGAGACGGGTCGTGTCCTCGTGCCGTTCTGCTTCCCCAGACGAGTTTAGCTGGACCTTTGCTAGCGGAGCTGGATGACTGGCAAGCTACTGGGAGTCTCTACTGTAACACCGGGAGATTATAGCTGAGGATATTTGTCCGTCCTTTTCTTGTGACTTTACTTTTGTTTTCCCAAATAATCACTCATGACGAGTTTGTGTTAATTTTTGAGTTCATACTATCTTAAAGCTGATCATTTAGAATTTATGAATAACAAGTAACAATAATGTGGTGGTGATGAGTTTATAATAGTCCGGAAAATGATTTTGAGTTCCTTATGATTTGACAATGAGTTGAATTTCAAGGTCATCTCGATGATGTTTTTGGAATTCATAATGATTTGTCAATGAGTGTGACTTTGTGCTGATGTGCTATGTGTTTCAGGGAGAGCTGCAGCAGAGCTCCAACTGTAAACCTCTCTGGTTTCTAACCTGCTTATTGAGGGCTTACTGTACATGGTGCTATTTGTTTAAAGCCATCTGTACAGAAAATACTTTCCTCCTTCCCCTCTTTATCTTCCTCACCCTGATATCTATTAATTAGCCCCCCGAAATTTAATCAAAGAACGACTTTCAGGAACAGGCCATAAATGGAGTTTCCTCCCTGCCATACTGGGGATTTTTCATCCCTGCCATATGTGGAGTTTCCTCCTGACCACAGAGTTTACATCAGAGTTCCCCTGTAAGACTTAACATCCATTCATTTTAATTCTACTTCATCTTATTTAATTTTTCACCGTGAAACATTTTCATGTTAAGTCACAGTTAAAGTGCAGAGGTGAAGGGTTTTTGTGCAGTTTCAGTATCCAACACAGCTGCAGACTCTAGATCACTCTCTTGCAATTAATTAAATTGAATGTATATTTTCACTTACCAGCAGTATATAAACTTGTAATAAAGTATTAGCGCCACTAGATGGATAGGCAACAGGGAGCGATATTCTAAGCAGTGTAAGATATGGCTTTTCTGGAGATTTGGCGCCTTCCCCTAAAGGAAATTTACCAGGACTCTTATAAAGATATATTTCACCATTTGGATCGATTTTAATTTAATCAAGCAAAAAAAAAGAAATGTTGATCTGTAGAGCTGTCACTCAAAATGTAATCTCAGATAACAGGAAGGGAGACTCAAATGAACCGAAAATTTCTGAAACATTTTGGGTTTAAATACTCAATAAATCCATGATGTTTCCAAAGTAATCGAGTTTAAATCAAATTATGATCACGGCTGATCAAAATAGTCAGGATTGCAATTTTTGCCATCACGTCACCAGAAATAACAGAAAATCTTCTGCTTGCAGTTGTAGTTGCTCCTCAAAAGCTCAATTTGAGTTGGAACAAACCTCTGGACATATATGACACACTACATCTGCACATTAAATATTAACTACATGTTTATATGCTGCTAATAAATGTAAATAAGTAATTTATCTGCCTGCTGTGGAATCTAATCACAAAGAAGCTGAAAGAATTCATGTAGTTGGAGATACTGTCCAAAATTACAGGAAGCTATCTAAGTTAGAGTTTATGGAAACCGGCTGGCGCACTTTATCCTGATGTGTCGTTCACGCCAAATGTGAAGCAAAGTTTCACCTCGCGTGGAATCAGCCACACTGGAGACCTTTATCCCGTCTTTAGCCAGCGGGATAAAGACGAAGCTGGAAACAAGTTCCAGAAACGCATCCTCACAGTTTACACTCTGTTTCCTCCGAGCTCGCTCCTTTTTTTTTCTCTTTGTCTAAAAGCAAAGTTGAACCTTTCAGCTCCAGCTGTTCTCAACCAGCGCAGATAAGCTCCTCTCTCATTTCTGATCTCACTGGTATCAGCAGAGGATCACCGCTGATGGGTTCTCATGCGAGCAAATGTGGATTTGCCTGTATTATTAAACAGACTGATCGTATCCGTACCGTATGAAAACTCTGCTTCATGTTTGTTGTGAATGCACCGTTAAAGGGGACCTTTATATTTTTATACTGGCGCTAGATCAGAGTAGCTTTGTACAGGTCAAAGTTCAAATAATCTTCATAGTAACATTCCTGTCTTTGTACAGGCCCTCAGTTCACCCTGTCTGAAACAAGCCAATTTATCTTCGGGCTCTTTCCTTGACAGCCTACTTTGCTCTTATTGGCTAACTTCTGGAAGCCTGCCGAGGGGCGGCATCCAGTGCTTGTGAGGTGTACTCTGAAGGCCAAGTGTTCGGCTCACAGGGATTACTTCTACTCATGTTTACCTCATTATGTGTTTATATACACACATTAAACATCACAACATCAGACAGATGACAACAAAATAAGTAAAGGTTTCATATTTTACTACAGCACTAATAATGATATTATTATAATCCATCACTTTGACCTCTTGCCCTGAGAAAACAGACTTATTCAGAGCTTTGTGTTTATCCTAACTTAGCACAAAGCATGGGAGCAGGAGGAAACTGTTAGCCTAGCTCCATCACAAGGTAAAAGTCCACGTTCTAGCTTATTTACACAGTGTAGTGTTGTATTCAGAAAACTAAAACAGAGCAGTCCTGAGTACAACTCAAACAGCCTCCTTTTTACTTCACTGTCTTTCTGCATTTGCACATTAACAGCAAGTGGGTGGAAACTGGATTCCTCCAACCTATAAACCAGCGTTCTTTACGTACCGGAGACTTGAATAGAATTTTATTTCAGACATTTTCTTAAAGTCACATCGCCCCCTTCTTTTCTGAATATTTGAATTTGGTTTAAAAAAGAATGAATCCCTCCGTTTGCCGCCCTCTAAAGCACAATCAAAGTTTCAGTGCCTGTTCCCGCAGCAGATTGACTGCTTCTGTCTCGTTTCCTTCCAAGTCCAGTTCCCAAACAACCTGCCGAGCTGCAGTCATGATTTCCAAAGCTCTACAAGTTGATGTTGACATGCTTTTATGGACAAAGTAATATAGAATGTACAGACTATTTACAGCACATTACAGTAGACTATATGGTCTGTATAATATATATTATGGTAGAATAAAATGTAGCTATAGTGTAAAATATAAAGTAGACAAAGTTTATTTAAAAAAGTAATATTTTGGTAGGCTGTAGTCTATGAAGTCTTTAATCTAATGAGATATTCAGAGCTTGTAAGCAGCTACACTGAGCTCCATCTGGAAACAGTACAAGTTTCAAATAAACCAGGTTTCATTTTTTCAATGAAGAAATCAAACGTGCGTACATTTAAATATACAATAAATTAACAGTGTCTTTTGTCCACAGAAACACTCACCAGTACTATTACCTTACATTATTGAGGTGACTGCTGTTGTGATTTAATGCTATACAAAATAAAACTGAATAAAACTAAACTGAATTGAATACACTATAAAATAAAATTCTGCTTAAGTTCAGGATATTTTTGCGTTGGGTTCATCCAATCTTAACCTTCAGTTCTACTTAAATAAAGCTACACATCTGATGGGAAATCAGATGACCAAAGTCTGGCTTCTTGTAATTCTTCCTCTTGCGACAGACATCCTGGAAATCAGGCCTATACTTTCTGTTTCTGGTTATCCAGACTAGACTGTAATGACTCTAGTCTGAAATAACACTGGAAAAAATGTGACCAACAAAACAAAAAACAGAAGTGGCAAAGAAAAGAAAATGGCTAGCACCTGATTCTTTTCTTGCTTCTCTCCATTGATGTTGTACTTATTGTGCGCAGACTTAGCAGAGAAAAATGCTCTGCAGAAATGCTTTAAGATAAAACACAATAAAAAGAGAATCGGTGGATCGTCTGTGTGGAAAGCTACAAAAACTCAGTTCGGGTCATCATTATTTGGTTTTATCAATTTTATCGATTAGCCAAACCGGTCTGGACCAAAAGTGTCTTTGAATGTTTAATCTGCAGCTCAGAGTCCTGCAGTGTGGCTGCTTACACTGAGAGAATATCACGTGAGTCAGGTATTCTGTACATGTGTAGTATATATTATAATGGACTACTGATAGTCTACTGTACAGAGTCATGCGCGGAATGAGTCAGTGAAGCAGGTTGGAAGCAGATCAGCGACCTCAGGTCCCCGCCTGTGCTCTGTTACACCTGACATGAGGTCAGTCGTCCATCGTAGGACTTCTCAGCCAATCAGAAATGACAACGTTTAATCAGTTCTGTCTTATTTGAGCCAATCAAATGTAAGTAGGGCTAAACAGCAGGTGGCAACAATTCTTCTACTCACCCAGTGAGATTATTGTTTTTCAAACGTTTTTTTTTTGTTGTTGTTGGTTATTAACAACAAAATAGATCCAAGCAGACGTTTACGTAAAGGTTACCGTACGAGCATCAGCACGCTCTTATTCTACTTATTCAACACAGCTTTGTGTCATTTGACTGTCGTCATCATGGTTTCAGAACCACCTCATTAAACCATTGAATATATTAATGTCATTACAACAGCTCCAGTCATTTTTTTCAGTTAACCCTGTGAGGCCTCAGTCATTGAATCCATGCACAGCCTGCAACTGAGTACATAGGTCGCTGACGACATTCACAACATTTATATACTCATGTGAGGCGCCCCGCATCACTCTACTTAACCACCAGCTAGTGTTTTGGTGGTGGAGTTTCTTCCATGAAGTGACTGAAAGCAGATGGAAAGTCAGAAACGTGTATGAGGAAGTGATGCTGTCGAGAACCAATCACAGTCCCTGCGGCCTCAAAGATGTAATGTGTGCTTACATTTCAGTTACAGAATCCCACTTTGCGCTAACCGTTTAAATTTGGAATCTTTTAAGAAAAAATGTGAAATTTTTTTTGTGTGTGTTTTAATGGTTTTAAGACGTCCCCGAACAAAGACTGAGACCGCACAGTGTGAACATAATTAATTATCCATAATTAAGCCAGTAATTATACAAATAAAGTTTTATCATTTCTATGACTTTTACAGTAAATCAACATCAGTCATTTACCGACACAATATCATTGATGTATTTACTTAGGCAATAAGTAAAGACGCTTCTGTTAAATCTCACAAACAAATTCTCACTAATACCATTTATTGACACTCATATTGGTATAGCATTTTTATAATTAAAAATATCCTCAAATCACATGTAAATAAAGAGCGGGGCTCATAAACCATCCCATTCAGTAACTTTAAATACATCTGAAGTGAGCTGGATTACAGTGTTATTCAGTCTACAAGATAAAACCCTGTCCAAGTACTTTTGGTCATTTTTGGTTCTACAGTTTGTGTTTGCGTATTCCGGCCATCTACAAAGATAATAAGTCAATCGGAAAACCACAAAAAAGCTGCCTCGTGATTTTTGTGCTATTTAATATGAGCTCAGATTGTTTAATCAGGTCTGTGATGAAAAGATTTGTAATAATTCTTCTAAGAGAAAAATGAGGATATAAATCAAACCATAGCTCCTCAGCCGTGGTTTAAACCTCTAATATTTATTATTTATGTTCCTCGATGTTCGGTAGCTGGGGATGGTCATGCCTTGGTCTTTTACCAACGTTCATGTCCATGAAGTGTCAGAAAATACACAAAGTTCAGTAACGTTCACGCCCACGGCAGAGTAAGGAAACTCGAGAGTTCAGATTTTTACATTTTTGTGTTTAAAAAAATGAGAAGTTTTTATTTAGCGATTTTACACTCCAAAAACAGAAGGGAATAGAAAGCCATCATTTATAAATGTTCACTTCACATATTTGTTGGTTAAAAGTTGGTTGAGAACAAAATTTCTTTTGCTTAGGGTTAGAGAACTGTAGAAACCAGAGGCCACCCAGCAGGGGGTGCTGCAGATAAACGTTGAAGCGATAACTTAAAAACTTCCAGATTCTTCCAAATCTGTATGATAAAGTGATAATTGATCAATAGAAGCAGGATAAATCTGAAAGAATGAGCCACAATGGAAAACTGGAAAATAATCCACAGCTTCCTGCTGATTGGCTGAGAATCCTGGCTTTCTAACCTGCGTGTGAAACCCTCCTCCCCCTCCTCTTAAATCTCCACCTGCTTATAAGTTTATGGTTTTATGG